AGGCTGTGTTATTTATTATGAAATTTACTAAGGAAGTAAAATTTTACTTGTTTAAAAATGTTTACCTCATATATTTTTTTAGAATATTATATAAATAAAAAAAAAAGCTATGACGTGAAAATACCCGATTTGCCAACACCTCCAAGCCGTTTTCGATAGTTATTCAATGGTTATCGGTAAGCCGCTTGCCATCTGTGCCGGCAGCTCTTAAAAATTTTGTGATTACTTCGCAGATTTGGGTAAATTCTGCTACAACTGATCGACCATGGATAGCATTATTGGACGTAGCCAGTTCGTCTCGGAGACGGCCAATCTCTTTACAGACGAAAAAACGGCCACGGCTAGGGCAAAGGTAACAAACGGATCCCAACTGATCAACGTTGGCTATTGTACTATACATTTTTCCATTAGGTTGTAGATTGGTGCAATGAACTGGTCACAGCATCGGGTCCCACAAAATGCGAACTGCTGGTCAAGGTGCAGGAGACTGTCCTGGGGTCCTGCGTAGAGCTGGCCGAGGAATTCCTGGAGCCAGTACTATCCCTGGCCCACGACCAAAATATGGAGGTGCGCAAGCAGGTGGTCGCCTTCGTGGAGCAAGTGTGGTAAGAATAGCCATACAAATAAAAGAAACTTATAGCTCTAACGTTTTGCTCCAATTCCAGTAAGGTGAAGGTGGAGCTACTGCCACATGTCATCAACGTCGTGTCTATGTTACTCAGGGATACATCAGCGCAGGTGATCAAGCGAGTGATTCAGGCCTGTGGCAGCATCTACAAAAACGGATTGCAGTACTTGTGCAATCTAATGGAACCCGGTGACAGTGCGGAGCAGGCATGGAATATCCTCAGCCTGATCAAGGCCCAGATCCTGGACATGATCGACAACGAAAACGACGGTATCCGCACCAACGCCATCAAGTTCCTCGAGGGCGTGGTTGTTCTGCAGAGCTTTGCCGACGAGGACAGCCTCAAACGGGATGGAGACTTCTCGCTGGGCGATGTTCCCGATCACTGCAAGCTCTTCCGACGCCAAAAGCTGCAGGAGGAGGGCAATAACATTTTCGACATTTTGCTTCAGTTCCATGGCACCACGCATATTTCCTCGGTAAACTTGATTGCCTGTACAAGCAGCCTGTGCACGGTGGCCAAAATGCGGCCCATCTTCATGGGCGCCGTTGTGGATGCGTTCAAGCAATTGAACGCCAATCTGCCGCCCACTCTCACTGACTCGCAGGTGAGCTCCGTACGCAAGAGTCTCAAGATGCAGCTGCAGACACTGATGAAGAATCGCGGGGCCTTTGAGTTCTCAGGCACCATCCGTGGAATGCTGGTGGATCTGGGCTCTTCGACAAATGAGATTCAGAAGCTGATGCCCAAGATGGACAAGCAGGAGATGGCTCGGCGTCAAAAGCGCATTCTTGAAAATGCCGCACAAAGTCTGGCGAAGAGAGCTCGCTTGGCCAGCGAGCAGCGAGAGCAGCAGCAGCGGGAGATGGAGTTGGACACAGAGGAATTGGAGCGGCAGAAGCAAAAGTCCACCCGAGTCAACGAAAAGTTCCTGGCCGAACATCTACGCAACCCGGAAACAGTAGTGGGTCTGGTGGTGGAGTTCCTGCCCGCTCTGCCAACCGAGGTCCCTGAAAAGTTCCTCGAGGAATATACACCGATTCGACAAATGTCCATCCAACAGCAGGTGAGCAACATCTCGAGAATGTTCGGTGAGCAGCTTTCAGAGAAGCGCCTCGGTCCAGGTGCCGCAACCTTCAGTCGGGAGCCGCCAATGAGGGTCAAAAAAGTGCAAGAAACTGAGTCAGCATCTACTCCCATGGAAGTAGACGAAGAATCTGTCCAAAAGCTGAGTGAGGAAGAGCTGCAACGTAAGGAGGAGGCCACCAAGAAGCTGCGCGAGACCATGGAGCGCGCCAAGGGCGAGCAGACTGTGATCGAAAAGATGAAGGAGCGCGCCAAGACGCTTAAGCTGCAGGAGATCACCAAGCCTCTGCCACGCAACCTGAAGGAGAAGTTCCTCACTGAAGCAGTGCGTCGCATTCTCAACTCGGAGCGACAGTGCATTAAGGGAGGCGTGTCCTTCAAGCGCCGCAAGCTGGTCACCGTAATTGCGGCCACCTTTCCGGACAACGTACGCTACGGCATCATGGAGTTTATTCTGGAAGATGTGAAGCAGCGCATCGACTTGGCGTTCTCCTGGCTATTCGAGGAGTACTCCCTGCTGCAGGGATTCACAAGGCACACCTACGTAAAGACCGAGAATCGACCCGATCACGCTTACAACGAGTTACTGAATAAGCTTATCTTTGGGATTGGGGAGCGATGCGATCACAAGGATAAGATTATACTTATACGTCGCGTTTATCTAGAGGCTCCCATCCTGCCGGAAGATTCGATCGGGCATCTGGTTCAACTTAGCCTGGACGACGAGTTCTCCCAGCACGGCTTGGAGCTGATTAAGGACCTGGCCGTGCTAAGGCCTCCGCGAAAGAATCGCTTTGTGCGCGCCCTCCTCAACTTCTCCGTGCACGAGCGTGCTGATTTGCGGGATCGGGCACTGGCCCATCTTGTTAGTCTCTATCATGTTCACAAAATCCTTCCGGCGCGAATTGACGAATTCGCTTTGGAGTGGATTAAATTCGTGGAGCTGGAGGCGCCTCCGGCCGCAGTTTTCTCGCAAGAGTTTGGTCGACCAACAGCAGAATCAGCCTGGCGGGAGGATACGGCCAAGGTTTGCCTTGGCTTGGCTCTTACCCTACTACCCTATAAGCCGGAGGGTAAGTTTTCGCACATATTGCTTAAATATCATATTTGTATAGAGTTAAAGCGGTATCAAACCAGAATTCTGCTAAACTTTTGTATAAAAACTTATATTTTTGTCGATTTCATTACTAAACATATTTATTTTGTCCATCCTGGGTTTTGCCACTGCAGACAGAATCAATTACAAACAATATGTATATTAGACTAAAGCAAGAAAAGAAGTTTATAAATCCTCAAGTTTATAAATCCTCGCCACTTTTTTTTAAAAATTAAATCATCTAAATTTCGAAATAATTGCCATTATGTTTAAAAAAAATTAAAAATTTAAGATCAATTATTCGATCGTTCCTATGACAGCTATATGATATCGTTTTCCGAATTTAATCAAATTAATTATGAATTATCAAAGTTTTACTATGTCCAAAAGAATTTAAAAATAGATAAGTTACAATTATTTTTTAATTTATTTTTTTTAAAACATCTCCAATATGATCTTGTGTTTACCAAACATAGGTTTTTTTACTTTATGTTTATTTAATAAAATTTGCTGTCTTTATAGTTTACGTGGAGAAAATTTGTCAAGTGTTCGTAGCCACCTCCGCTGAACTGAAGCGCACAATCCTGCGTAGCCTGGATGGTCCCATTAAGAAGCTGGGAGTGGAAAACCCTACATTGATGCATTTGATCGAGAGCTGTCCTAAGGGCATGGAAACCTTGGTGATACGAGTTATCTACATACTGACGGAGCGAGTTCCTGCACCACATGAAGATCTGGTCCGCCGGGTGCGAGATCTTTACCAGCACAAGGTCAAGGATGTGCGTGTAATGATACCCGTACTGAGTGGTTTGTCCCGCTCCGAGCTGATTGCCGTTCTGCCCAAGCTGATAAAACTGAACCCCGCTGTGGTCAAGGAGGTCTTCAATCGTTTGCTAGGCATTGGCGCCGAGTTCGCCCATCAAACGATGGCCCTGTCTCCGACGGATATTCTGGTGGCTCTGCACACCATCGACCCGAGTGTCTGTGACCTGAAGGCCATCGTCAAGGCCACGTCGCTGTGCTTGGCCGAAAGAGAGTTGTACACCCAGGAGGTGCTGATGGCTGTGCTACAGCAGCTGGTGGAGGTCAACCCACTGCCTACTCTGATGATGCGCACAACCATCCAAAGCTTGACTCTGTACCCGCGTCTTGCCAACTTCGTAATGAACTTGCTGCAGCGGCTGATCATGAAACAGGTCTGGCGGCAGAAAGTCATCTGGGAGGGCTTCCTGAAAACTGTGCAGCGCCTCAAGCCGCAATCCATGCCGATTCTACTGCACCTTCCTCCCGCCCAGCTGGTGGACGCCCTGCAGCAGTGCCCCGATCTAAGGCCAGCTCTATCGGAATACGCAGAGAGCATGCAGGATGAGCCGATGAACGGCAGCGGTATTACTCAGCAGGTTCTGGACATAATCTCCGGAAAGTCGGTTGATGTTTTCGTTACGGTAACTATGAAATGTGTTTTTTTTACCTGTGTATTTTAAAAATATTACAACGTTGTAGTCTTAACCACTATAATATCATTATCGTTTTGTTGCACCGACTGTACAAATTTTCTGACTTTACACAAATGTCTCTCTATTTCAGGACGAAACTGGCGGTTACATTAGCGCAGACCATATCAAGAAGGAGGTGCAGGATCCATCGGAAATCGGCGTAATATCCACAGTTTCCGTTCTGACGTCTCTGGTGCCCCTGCCTGTTCCCCCGCCCAGCGATCTAAACCAACCTCTACCACCTGGCGAGGATTAGTTTCTGCTTAATTATGTTGTTTCCCCATAGACATCTCCAATTTACTGAATAAGAAGTTTATATTTACACGCTTCTTTTTGTCAACCTTTTTGAACCCAAAAGGTCAGACAGAATATTGAATGACACACCGAGTGGGAGGCCTCATATAATCAACTGGGAACCTGCAGCATTCTAGTATTTCCCTATCAATCTTTTCAGATATGGTGCAAAGAAGGGTATTTTTTTTATAATTATAACGATAAAAAACCCGCTGGGATATATATTCGGACGAGTAACGTAGACAGTGGCTTTAAGGGTAAACGGTCTCCTTTTTAACTCTTGCTTTCGAAGGTTTCAATCAACTGTGGTAGCCACATTTTTTTTTGGTCAGAGAAATACAGATGGGTAAACAAAAAATCAGTGTGTAGGTAAACCGTAAAAATCAAACGTTGAAAACGTATTTTAGTTGATACTTTTATTTTGTAAAGACGATATTCTCTTATCGCCTTATTTTAATATTGTTAAACATTTTTAGGGCGAAAAGTGTTCATAGAATGCTTGGCATTTACAGTTTTACTTCGGCTTCCATTTCCTTGTTAGCTAGACCAGCAAGGATATTTCGGGCCGTAATGCGGGACATTTCCTTGCGTGTTTCGATGTCAGCACTGCCAATATGGGGGAGAATAACCACATTATCCAGTTTAAGGAGGGGGTCGTCAAGCGGCAATGGCTCCGGCGTCGTGACGTCCAGACCAGCTGCCTGAATTTGCTTTGTTTTCAGGGCATCGTACAAGGCCTTCTGATCCACAACCCCACCTCGAGCAGTGTTGATAAAGATGCAGTTGGACTTCATCTTCTGGAAGGCAGATGCATTAAAAATCTCCTTGGTCTGGGGTGTTAGGGCGCAGCAGGCTACGATAAAGTCTGAGTTGCAGAGCATCTCATCAAAGTCCACGGGTCGGGCGTTGACAGCCGCCGCTTCCTGGGTTCTTGGCGAGCGGGTCGTGTAGGTTATCTCCGCGGGCTTGAATGGTACAATGCGTGCCGCTATCTCTTGGCCGATGCGTCCGAAGCCCAGAAGGCCCACCCGGGAGCCCTTCAGACCCTGGCCGCACATCCACATGGGGGCCCAGGACTTCCAGCCGCCATTGTAGACCTGCTTGTTGGCCTCAAACAGACGCCTGTTGGTGGCCAGGAGGAGGGCAAGTGTCAGTTCCGCTGTGGCATCCGTCAGCACGTCCGGAGTGAAGCCCACGCGAATGCCACGTTTCTTGCACTCCTCCACATCGATGTGGTCGTAGCCTACAGATATGGTGGCCACGCACTTCAGCTGGGGACCGGCAGCATCCAGGACCTCCTTGTCGACCTTGTCGGTTAGGGCGCAGTAGAGGGCATCTTTTCCGGCCACCTCGCGGATAAGTTCGGAGCGGGGAACAGGAGAAGTCTCTTGCCAAGTGCTCACCTGGCAGCTGCAAAATGTCATGCACATTAGATTAGTGCGTTTGCCAATTAGCCGGCAGCAATAAAAACAAACCTTTTGCGCAGCAGTTCCAGACCGCTGTCGTCCACATCTGGACGAGTCACATACACACTTGGTTTGGAGCTCATCCTTCGAATTCTTTGTCCTAGTTACAAGAAGTTTCTGACTTGAGCGAACGGCAATCGCGGTGGCATTGATTCAAATTTCCGTAACAAGAAGGGGGTAAACAAAAGTAACAGGTTTCCGTTAGTGTGCCCGAACTCGGTATTTTAAAAAATACCCTTGTACAATAAAGTTCCCGGAGTTGGAAAACTCGATTGCAAAATACCCTGTAGCCTGTATATATATATTTCATTGATTCAAATTTCAAAACACATATAATATTTATACATGCACAATTGCATTACAATTTTTAAAAATAATCAAATTTTGCGTTATTCAGGAATAATATTCTTTGAGTAAGTTTATTGTTCACTATTGGTTAAAGGATCTAAATCTAAGACACCTGACTGCGTGAGTTGCACCTAAAGGGGCTATAACAGTATGGCAGGTATAAGCTCCACTAGAAATTTTGAACGAGTATATTTTTTTAGTTGCTGATGTCACAACAAGAAATATGTATATACGTAAGTATTGTTTTCTATATCAAACGTTTTTTTATTGGTAAGGAATTGTTTATTTGGCTTTATATTAGAATTATATTAGAATTAAAACATACTTTATTATGTCAAAAAAACTTAAGAACATTCTTCCGGGCACCTTCTTTTAAAAATATTACCGGAAAGTGCCAATACGAAACGAGTATACCCTCTCCCTACAGGGTGTTATTTACATCTGGTCACGAAACCCGCATTCAAAACATTTCATCACAACTCACATCGGCAGCTTCCGATGCTTACAACTAAAACACAAAGGCAGGGCTTTTTGAAAAGAAATACCTTTAAGCTTGTTATTAAAACCACTCCATGAATGGTCTACTCCGCCTTGTCAAGCTGACCACACGTGCGATTGCCTCACTGTCGCTGAACGTCCCACAGAGGAGTCGCTGGCTGAAGACCATGTCCGGTCGGGATGTCTCCCCCGAGTTGGTTGCGCAGCTGGGGAAGCCGCCCAGGATGCGCAAGGATCCAGCATTCAAAAAGGTGCAAACTCCAGAGTTCCAAAGCGTATTCACTCCCGAGCTGAGGGAACTAGAGGCTCTCTTCAAGAAGTACAACTACGAGCTGCGGATTGCCGGCGGGGCTGTGCGTGACATCCTGATGAGCATTCCTCCGAAGGACATTGACCTGGCCACCACCGCCACTCCGGAACAGATGAAGGCGATGTTCGAAAAGGAGGAGGTGCGGATGATCAACGCGAATGGCGAAAAACACGGAACTATCACCCCGCGTATTAATGACAAGGAGAACTTCGAGGTGACCACGCTGCGAATTGACATCCGCACCGATGGACGCCATGCGGAGGTGATGTACACCACCAACTGGCAACTGGACGCGAACCGCCGTGACCTGACGATTAACTCCATGTTCCTGGGCTTTGATGGCACGGTCTACGACTACTTCTATGGCTACGACGATCTGCAGGAGCGCCGTGTGGTCTTTGTAGGCGATGCAGACATCCGGATCAAGGAGGACTTCCTTCGCATCCTGCGCTACTTCCGTTTCTACGGACGCATAGCCAAGGATGAGAAAAACCACGATGAAGCCACTCTGGCTGCCGTAAAGAAGAACGCGGAAGGCCTAGCAAGGATAAGCGGCGAACGGATATGGACGGAGCTGCAGAAAATAGTGGTGGGCAATTACGGGTCCGAACTGCTTCTGGAGATGCACCGTTGCAACCTTTTTGAGCACATTGGGCTGCCTGTAGAGCCCAACCTGGAGGAATTCAAGCGGCTTTGTGCAGGCCTGGAGAACTTCGAGAAGCCGCATTACCCCATTTTGTACATTGCAGCGATGCTGCACTCCGTGGATGATGCCATGGCAATGCACAAGCGTCTTAAGCTATCCGCCTACGAAAGGGACCTGGCTAGGTTTATCACCCAGGAGCGGGAGAAGGTAATAAGAACCACAACTTTACGTTATAAAAACACACATGATTAAAACTCCGACTTTCAGGTGGGGACAGATTACACAACCCTGCGCGACTACCAGAAACTTTGCTTGAAGAAATACATCCAACGAGATTACGTGGAACAGTTACTAAAGTACTCCAACAAACTGGAACTTTACAATCAGCTTAAGTCTTGGGTCACGCCAGACTTTCCAATTAGAGGAAACACTTTGGCTGAGCATGGTCTTAAATACAAACGACTTGGTCTTGTTCTAGATGAACTAAAGCTCCTTTGGGCAGACAGCGATTTTCAACTAACCGATAAGGAGTTGCTAACAAAGATTCCCGACGTCATGGAAAAGATACCAAGTTCCCCCAAACGAGTGAAGTAAGAATTAATAATTGATGCACTACTTCGTTGGTGCTCAGATTTAATAAAGATTATTGGATTATTTATTTTTGTTCTTATGCTTTTGTAAAGATCTGAATGGGACGCTTGAATCCGGCTTCGCAGTGCTCGGGTGTGCCCATGAGATCCATTTTGGCAAAGCCAACTTCTGAGCTAAGCAAATATTCGGTAAATTGTTCGGGTCGAAATTTAATGGCATTGTAGTTCTCTCTAATTTTTTCCTGGAAGAACAGGTAACTTTAATACGAATTTCGGACCAATAAAAATCAAGTAGATGATCTATGAGCGAAGTTTAAGAACAAGTTAGTCAACAATGAGTGTGCTACATATGCCTTAGATATTGGCTAAGAAACCACTAGCCTAACTAAATTTTCTAGTCATACTCACCGATAGCTTCTTGCGTCTTTTGTAGCCATCAAAGGACTGAGGCTCCAGAATCAGCTTGCCGCCCGGGCGCAGCTGCAGGTACATGCGGCGGAAGGCCTGCTTTAGGCCGGCATCACAGAAATTAAGGTGGATCCACTTGGTGACAGACAGACAGAGTATAACATCGAACTGCTGCCGCTCAATTTCCAGCAACACATCGTCCTCCAGTACATAGTTGCCGTGCATAAACCTCGTGTTGTGGGGAAATCCCTGCCCAGGGGCCGCCTGTCGCTTCAGGTGGCTGATGGTACTTTGCGCATCCTTAACCAGGCCGCGATCTATGTCCAGGCCCACGAGACTCTTGGCTTCGAAGGTTTTGGCAATCTGGATTGACAGATGCCCGGAGTTGCAGCCAATGTCTAGGAGTTGTTTGCCCCGGAACAACTCTGGCTTGGTGGCCAGCACGTCCAGGCGGATGTCGTGAAAGTCCTTGTCCAGGATTCGCTTGCCATAGTAGTGTTTATAGTTGCCGTAAGTGAAATTATCAGATTTGTTGTGCTTGGGCTTTCCGTTCAGTTGGAGCCGTTTCTTTGGACTCTGCAGGGGCGGACGGGGAGTGGCATCCACAATGGGTTCCTCCGTTTTCAGTCTCTTGGTTTCACCTGCCTTGTCTTCTAAGGTAATTGCTGATTTTCTCTTCTCCGCACATTTTTCCGGCTCTTTTCCGGTGAACTGTGTGTTGTTGTTGTTCTCCAAATCCATGGTGAAATCTAAAGTACAAAGATTCAAGCCCATGCTGTAATACCAAACGAAAATAATGTTATCCTCATTAAATACTTGCCACAGGAGCCCATTTAAGCTGGATTCCGATAACCTAATTCCTTATTATATGTCTTAAATCATAAAAAAACTAAAAATTAAACATACTCGCGGCAAGTTTAGTTTTAAAGTGACCGAAGCAGAGAAGTTAAAAATTACTAGAGGGATAAATGAAAAAAATACCATAATAAATATCACTTGGCGCGGGTTTTAAATTTGCACCTATTATTAATAAATGTAATCTACCATTCGTGAATGACTGTTTTATTTCGCAACAATTAATCTTGTGTGAGTTCCCCTCCCCCATAGAACACTACAAATGAATTTAATTATCTTTAATCAGATCGATAAATTTCCCTGAAGTCCCTGAACAGAAAACGTTTGTAAAATTTCACAGCCTTCGTGTGACATGTAGATCACATGAATTTACATTGACGTGTAGAATACATAATTGTAAACTTATGTACTTACAAATAGGTTCTTGGCCATATCCTGTATTCTTGATCTACTACTCCAGCATGTCTAGCCTACCATAAATCCGACAGCATCTCTAGGAGAGTCTATGTCCGAAAAGTTTCTTCCTATTGCAGGTAGTATAAAAGTCGAAAGTCATATAGCTTCCATAGGAATAATCGGAAAAAAGAAGTAAGAGATTATAATTTGGCTGTTTTTTAATTTTTGTTTCTGTTTCATAGATATATAGTAATGGATTCATTTTTTAAATTTAAGATTTAAAATTGATTAAAGGCGGACGACTTTACCATACCATTTATGGAAACAAACAAACATTAAAACAATAAATTTAAAAAATATGTGAGCTCCTCTAATTTTAAATTTTGTTTATTTTTTAGTACATAAAAATTGTAAATTAATTCAGAATTACGCTTTTAGTAATTAAGGTGAAAAACATAATAGCTTTAATATTTTCTGAGATACACGCATATAATACGAACTTTAGATGTTTTAAAGAATATTTAAATTTGCAATATGTTAGCTGCAAGGGTATATAATTTTCGCCTTTCCGAAGTTTACTTCCTTTCTTGTGTTAATGTTTTTCAAAGTACAGGTATTTTCTGGAGTAAATATATTTATAAATACATATTTAATTTTTTTTAGAATCTTGTCTTTTTCATCACTCTTTAAGTTAGCCGGGAAAGAACATAGCTTATTGCTGGATTAAGATATTTGTAATTTACATATAAGTTTAAATTTATTTATTTAAAATGTTGATAAAATAAATCCAGTTTTAAATAAATAATTTGGTTGTTCTTAAATATTTTTGTGCTCCTTTAAGTTAAACAACATGATAGTTGTAGCCTTAGTTTTTGAATATCTTAACATAATCAGTGTACAATTTACTAGCTATATATTTGCCAACCTTTTTAAAACAAACCTTATTAGTTTTTTTGATTTCTGGACTGAACCAAATGCCAATTTGGTTGTTGTTGGCAAATGATTTTTCGCAATTTACATAACAAAGCTCGCTTAATGAAAGCATAATATATGTTTTTGCAAATTGAAATCCTTGCTTTGTTTGCCGTGTCCGTTAAATGTGTCCGCTGCAATCGCACAGGATACAGATTCCTGACCATTCGCGCGTGCCGCATGTTGACCCTT